AATTCTGTTATTCTGATCACATATGTTATTCAAAAACTGTTATTCCCAAGTTGAATATTGTCTTAGAAATAAAACTACAGTATGCTCAAATAAGCACCTCATTGTTCAAATGTCAAAACACAAAGAAGAAGGCAACTAACTGAAGGATTATCCAAAAATCTCAAAAATTCAGGGGAGAAAAATTCCTAAGAAGGAGAAGCAGTTCAAATGCGTTTAACGAATAATGTGATTTTCTTCAGCCACGGCTGATAATGGGAAAGATGAAATTTGCTGTAAAGCACTTGACTCCTCTGATTTTTTAACATTATAATTATGGATAGCATGCATGCATGTCTTAAATAAGAGACTTTTAGAAACAACTTAGGCTGAAACCTTTGAGGATCAAATTCGGGAAAATGAAAAACTCTGGGCTCTTTGCCTTAATATAGAAGCAGAGGTACTTGAATGTGCTTTGCGCCCAGAAATACCTCAATATTATAATCAACGGAAAAAAAACTGTGTGAAATTGATTGATGATATTTAGCCCCAGGCGTAAACCATGCAAGGCGTCAATTTCAATATTTCAATAAAAATCAAGAAACTGAAACAAAGTTTTGAAGCCGATGCTCCAATTTAATTGCAGCCATGATCGCAGGTTATGCTCTTCCAGACGCACGGAATGAGCACTAATTTTGGATTTTTGCGTTGGGGATCCACTGAGAAATGTCTAAATTATAACGCAGCTTCAAATGCTTTCACTGATTTCTTTTCGGATAATTCAGTTTTTTTGCTGAATCCGCAATATAAGCAAATTTGCAGACAAAACTTACCTTACACAGGTTGGAAAAATTGGTCGGCAGAAGATGGATGTCATAAAAACAATAACAAAAGAGAGATCTTTTATTTGGTGAGGGGTTTTGAATCCACGAGGGGCAGAGGGGGGAGGGGGGGAGGGGTTGCTCAATGACCCCTGCCCCCCTCTTAATCTGCCCCTGATAATTATCAAAAATTCTCTTTCACCCACAATTTTTTTTATTAATAAAAAGAAACCAAGCCAGAAATTTAAATATGGGCGGATATGAGAGCTTGGTTTTGAAAAATGAATTGAACTAAGTGTAACAGATTAAAAGGCTACGCTCAAGCTAACTTACCGAAAAATGCCATGAAAAATTAAGGTCCAGGACTAAATCCCCCAGGATAAAATCCCCCAGGATAAAATCCCACCGGATATAATCCCCCAGGACTAAATCCTCCGTAGGACCCAATCCCCCTAGGACAAAATCCCCCAGTTTCTAGTTTAAAATCCCCCACATTCGAATTCAACAAAACAGCGACACTAAGACTTGAATTAAAAAATGAAAGATAATTAACAGAAAAGAAGTAGATAGATTAAAAACTAAAAACTAAAAGGACAAGTTAACAGCTATGGCTTTAAGATAATCCAACTCTTTGTAGTTAGCGGCAGAGCATACAATTCTCTTGATCCTCCCAAAATTATCCTCTTTCCTTGTATGGACTTTCTTGCCGAGCTGCATTTGAGCAAAACTGAAAGATTGCAGTGATTGCTGCCTCTGAATTGCCTCAATGAACTTCCAAATTCCAGGAATTGACATTTGGAGCATGGATTCGAATCCACGGTGGAATCCTTCAAGGGCATTGTTTGTTCTGGGGAGGTCGTCAATGGTCCTGAAGTAAACGTTCCACATATCCATGTCGAATCGCGATTTCCGACTTGTCGAGTTTCGCATTTCGTTGCCTTCAAGGGTGTCCTCAAAATAATTCTTGATGTCGTCAGGAATGTGGAAGTTACTAGTATTTGTTTATACCAGGCTTCTACATGTAAGGGTGGGGCAAACGCAAGAGCAGCTAAAAAACGTATAGCTAGGTTAAAGTCTTTGTCCTTGCGATACTGAACTGCATAACCAAATTCGAGTATCTTTCTGTAAATGGCTTGCGAGAAGTGAAAGAAACAACCTTTGATTTCTGTGTCTGGAAAGTTGTCACCCACAGAATTGATGCAAGCCATTTCAAAGTCCATCATGATTAAACTGGGGCAGGGGGACGATATCTGCTTTCAAGTTTGACCAGAAAGCGTTGTACGTTTCTTGTCGTTTATCGGGGAGCAGGTCATAGATACATGGAAAAGTTGTTCCATCTACGAAGCAGTTGATTTTTGAAGCGTTGAAGCTCTTTCGCATCGTAAGAAAATAGTAATAATAATGATCCCTGGGTCAAAACTTCTTAAGCTGGGATTTTTTCAAATAAAAGGTATAATTCGGTCACCTCGCTATCACGGAAAAACTGGCCTTGTCGGAAATTCGTCGTTACTTTAACCACTCCGTTCATAAAATGAGGACCATTCTTCTCTTATCATTACGAGGTCATACTGTGCATTTTGTAGATTGTAACCTAAATCCCCCAAAATAGATCTGTCACGGAATCCCTAACACGATTTGTTTGATCGTTTTGCTGTTTGTAATTCCATGAAAAATAGTTTAAACACTGTTTTGCTCAGAAATACCCAAAAAGTAACCAAGTTAGCGGAATCCGGAACAAAGAATTCGGAATAGTGTCCAGAGTCCATACAAAATATGTTTTCATAACATTACCATAACAATTTTGCGGAATCAGCTCACAATATATGGAACCTATTTAAATAAAATTAAACGTCAAAACTTTGCAGAATCAACTTACATGTGCGGAGTTCGTTAACAACTTGCAGATTCCGTTAACATTTGCGGATTCCTGAACAAATTGCTATATCCGCTTGATACAGAAACTGCGACACAACTAATATTCCCGAAAAAAAATTTTGCAAAGTATTTGGGCTTTGATTGCACAAAAATTTTTTAAGTGGAATCCAATTTAAATTTAAAGCATGTTTAACGAATAATCTGTTGTTTCCAACTAACTACACACCAAACAGTGAGCCTATCCAGTGCCTTGTTTGACCTCGTTTTGATTTATGTAACAAACACCTACTCGTACCTGTACCCCCATTTTATCTGATTTTTCCGTGAAGAGAAAACTTGTCGAAAGTGACAGCGGTTGCACCAGACAATTATTCAGACCAGATAATAATGCCTAAAATTACATCGATCGGCAAAGACTGATTGACGCGCACTGTGTCTCTCATGTTGAAAGTAAGCGCGATGTAGCTACTTGTTGCAACTTACCACGCCCTAATGCGAATTGTCGCTTGTTTCAAATGGCCGCGCTCTACGAACCGTTGCGGTTTCTAATTACTACCAGTTGTCGCTTTCGATGAACACTTGTCTTGTCTTTATTTTTCGGTGTTAGTTATTTTTGTTCTCCTAATCCTTGAGAAGCGTTATTGTTCCGACTTTCGATACGAAAGTAACGGAATATTTGTTCTCGGGTGGTTTTCTTCCGACTTTCGATACGAAAGTAACGGAATATTTGTGCTCGGGGTGGGTTTTTTTCTTCAGACAAATTTCGACTTTTTAACTAGCAATTTTTGACGGAAAATTTTTATATCATTCAAAAGATATTGTTGTCCTGAGCTTAAATTTGAATAGATATTTCACCTGTGATCATTTTTCGTAAAGTTATGAGGGTTTAAAGATTGCCATTTTGGCCATTTTGACCAATTTGTTACAATTAACGCGCGATATAATTCACGCTATTAACGCGTAAGCGGAGATTTAATCCGTCTTAGAAATCGCTCCTAATTGATTGAAAAAAGCTTATTTGCCACAATTGACTTAATACAAGCAGCGAAATCTATCCTTTTGTACTTTATATGGCGTGTGGGGGATGATTTTCATAAAAAAATTCAAATTTTAGAAGAAAAAAGTTTTCATTTTATCTTATTTCATTTAATTTTTTTATGTTATTACTGCTGCTCCATAAACCTTAAAAGGCAGTCGGAACATTCAGGTTTTCGCCCTGATACGAGCAGTCTTGTTATGAGCTTTACTTTTAAAAAGATCTTTTGCATGACCGAATAAGCTCATTACATAAATAGCAGATTAAATAAATAGCAAGTTTTTATGAGCCCTGTCATTAGAAATTGAATTGAATGTGCCCAGTTTCTAGAAAATTGGGCTCGTTCAGTCCAGTTTTCTAACCTTAAGCTCATTAAATTCTCTATTCCAAATATTTGTCTCGGCCAACCCTTTTTTGAGAAATAAGGTACCTATAGTCGGAAATTTTTGATAAGAATTGGGTGACATATTACAATAGGTGACAGGAGGCTCCGCCTTCCTGGCATGTTTTTATATAGCAAAAAAAGATCCCAGTGGGAATTGATCCAGACCTCTAGGTTTTGCGCCAAATGTGTAACTCAGGATACTAGCCGCAAAAATGCAAGAATAGAGATTTTATTAACCAAAAGTCTTAATATTCAGTATTATTATGCGACACGAATGCATGAAACAACTGCTGTTGAACTGGCAAATTTTCACCATATAAAAAAATTGACCATTCTTTAGCAAATAATGGACAAAAAGGAACATTTCATTATAGAAATCACCTGTTGAATTATTTTTTAAATTTTGGTCATATGATCGTTTTATTGACTTCAGATCTTTCCGTGTATTTGATATTATTTGACAAATAAATTCATTGCTTTTGTTGTTAGTAAATCTTTGTTGTTTGCAATCCCTACATTCGGGTGTTTTTGTTTGAAAATCTCATTCGACCAATAAAACCGAGTTTTTTAAGTATAAAAGAGACATCTACAGTCAAGGTAATAGTTTTATAAACGAACACCTTGATTCATTTTAAACCTTCAAATCTAATTCAATTGAGATGGCCAAATAAGCTCAACTTGTAACTTATTAGTGAGAACAAGTTTTAAGAAAAGTTAAAATTTGAAAGAGAAAGCACAAGAACATTATTTATCATTAAAAAAAACAACCTTGAAGTTGAACTCAATCTTTTTATTTGACACTTTCTGTAGAAAATACACTTGTTCACATCAAAAATTCAGAATTAGCATTTTTATAAGCTATGGTGGAGCACGGCTTGGTTTACGCGCTGATTCATTTCTACTACAGCCTTCATTGGACTTGCCCCCTCCATTTCCCCCCTACAGCCTACAAACCCCTGGCAAACTACTCTGGATCGTGGTACGAACTGTACAACTTCCCCCACAACAAACACCTCACAGAGCCCAGTTGCCTCTGTCCCATTTCTCATAACTCAGTGGAAGACGAAGGTAATGGTGATAATAATAAATTGGGATCTACTTAACATCCCCCCCCCCCCGTATGGTACGTACTTAAGAATCTCCACCCCTATAAATATATACAGTAATTTGGCAATGAGCTTTCTATTGAGAATTCAAATTTTGCTGCATTTTGATTGGTCGAAAAATCGACCATTTTGATCCACTTAACAATCTTCCCCCTTTCTTGAAAGGGGTGGAAATTATTAAGTAGATCCATAAATTGTTTCCAAGTGAAGTCATCACACGTACAGAATTACAAACGAGGAATTCTTTTTGCAAAAACATCATTTGAGAGAGCGCCAGAAGACTAAATTAAGCATGTTTTCAGGCGTCTCAAAATTCTTAAGAATATTTAAAATTATTACGAGGCACGAATGCAAGAAACAACTGCTGTTGAACTGGCAAATTTTGACCATATACAAAAAATTTTCACCATTCTTCAGCAAATGATGGACAGAAAAGGAACATGCCATTAATGAAACCACTTATTGAATTATTTTTTAGAAGTTTGGTCGTTTGACCGTTTTATTAACTTCAGAGCTTTCCGTGTATTTGCTTTCCTGAGATTTCCGTGTATCGACCGAAAGGTAACCTAATTTGAAAGTCATCCTCAATTTTGGTAGCAAACAATTTACAGAAGTTCCTCCTTTGGAAATGTTTTACGACTTCACTTTTTGACAGACGGCCACTAGAAATTTGGAAAAGTTCCTTCAGGCTTCTTAATGACTGACCTAAAAAAAATCCGCAATTTTTGTCAAAAACCGTCCTACCAATTTCTTCGTCAAAAAGCTCAAAATTATTCGAGGATACCACTGGTGTGAACATACCATGAGGGCATATAACTTATCTTTCTAATTTTGGAATCATGGCAAGGATAAATTTAAGAAAGAATCACACAATGAAGTTATTCTCATGGTTAATTTGAAAGTCAGAACAATAATGGCTGAATCGCAAAAGTTCCGTGTTCACAAAAGTGTTTCTTACAATTATCAAGCTCTCCGCTAAAACACAGGGTCTGAATTTCACAACTTTGACTGAATAGTGTTTGAGTAAAAGCTGTTTTAAGATACTTTGAACATGGCTATATTTCGTAAGCAACATTAATATATTTTTTATTTCTACGAACTTTGAGATTCGAAATGAGCAGAAAAATAATATTCAGAAGGAACCTGATCTAAACTACATTTTATGATTGGATAAATTAGATATTTTACCAATGTAAAGTATTTAATATTAACCAATCATGACCCATCTAACTAACAACCCACTTATTTGTAAGTGCTGAAGTTACTTGTAATTTCAGCACCAGAGAGATTTGAATTTAACTTAGAAAATAGTTGGACTCTCCCGAGCACTTCAGCAGCCGCAATAAACCAGTATACCCTAGATCTATTGAGCCTAGCAGAGACTAGTTAAACAACCTGAGACTAGATAGTATAAGAGTAAGATTAGGATCGGTATTAGACTAAGAAGTTGCACGAATCTATCCGGCCGAAAATAAGATAGCGTGACGAGCAGACGGTGTACCCTATCCGAAATTACTCTATGAGTTATAGACAACATACATAACTCATCTGGTGCGACCATAAGTCTCGAACAAGACCTTAATAGCTTAGAATTAACCAAAATAGATTAGAAATTAGACAAAAACATTTACAAAATGTTATACGACAATAATTTAATCGAAATGTCTCTACGACTCAATAGATCAGAGCCAATATTCCGAACCATAACAGAACTACCCGGAATTGGAAGAAGACCTCGAACCAGAGACGACATACGACAAAGTAGAAACTTACCATATAGCTATATGATAGTTAGGCAAAAACCAGAACAAACTTTTATATTTAGAATACTACTGGCAATGAATTTAGATTTTCATTTGCAAACATAAAACCTTGAAGTTAATCTTCAAAATCATTTCAGGCGCTAAACAAAATTATTAATATACAATAACGATTGATAAAAAGATCTAAGATCGTTTTCCTAAAACTCTGCAGTAATATACAAAACATGTTTGAAAAATATTTATTGAAAAATAAAAAATAAAAATTAGTAGCATGACAATAAATGGTTAGTAATCATAAATCATCCTGTTGTTCCAGCTCCATCACCTAAAACATAACAGCAATCATAAACCCACTAATATCATCAAAACACTAAATCTTTCCTTTACACACATTTAAAATTTTATTAAAACTTAAATTCACTTAATTTTAAAACCAGATCATCAAGGCTTATCCTTGGATCTTAAATCATTTTCTACTTAATTAAATTTCAAATTTGATCATCAAGGCTTATCCTTGGATCAAACAGAACAACTTTGTTCTCCCCCACCCACTTAATTAGTGTCTAACGACCTCAAACGTCGATTCACTACCCAACCCTTTCTAAAGACCTAAGACTAATAGAAATTTTTAAACAAAACTAATCATTCAAATTAGGATAAACAGTGAAGAACTTCGGTTATTCATCCTTCACTTGACCCCCCCTCTTACCAGACCCAGGATAAATCTTAGACTTAGTAAGTTTAAAATAGTATCTAACGAACTACTCGCGTTCTAATTATACCTGAACCCTGTGGATCGATTTACTATTCTCCAACCCTTGAACACAATCACTACCCCTAAGTAAGATTAAGTAAGTTAACACCTTAACTTATACTAGCCACGAGAAAGTAAAAAATCATTCTACGGAATCGATATACTTTTCTCTCCAACCCTGAACAAATAGACCCAGGTTAAGCTAACCAAAAAATCGTAAGAACTAACAGTTTAGGAAAATAGAAACCATTTAACAACCTTTTGCATCTGTCATCCTAAACCTTATGTCATTTAAAAACCTAGGAAATAAACAAACAATCGTTTTACACAATTGTGAAATAGATAACAAAAAATACGACCTTGTAATCACACCTCATACACAAACAGTTGGATACATTCGAACAAAACGACAAACACTAAAAAGAAAAATAATAACGAAACAAAGACAAATAACACGAAAAAGATTTTCAAAAAATCGAAACGCATTTTCAGAATCAGAAACCAACAGTTTAGACGAACTTTACAAACTAAAAGAATCAATAGATAAAAATTGCCCACTTCACGATCAATTATATTTTTCTGACTCAGAAACAACTTCAAATTCATCAAAAAGAGGAAAAAGAAGAATAAAAAAGCAGTATAAACACAAACCAGTACATTTATACAATTGGAATCAACCAATTCGACACATTAATAATTACATATTAACAGTCATCGAACGAAAAAATGAGCTCAACGCACACCCCAGGTGACGAAACCCCAGATGATGATGAAATCTTTCCTTTTATAGTAGATGCAACCACTGATAGAGGACAGCATATATTTTGCAAAAATTTACTATTAAATTTATTTGAACCCGGAATCAGTCCATGTAAAACAGAGTTCCCAGATGTAAAAATCAAAAGACAAATCATAGACCACTACTTAAAAGATATATGCAACATAACACAACAGTATGGAATCTACTCCATAGAATTCACCTCACCAAACCATAATCATAGAAAATATACAATCCAAACAGACGATCTTGATTTAGAATTTTCAAAAGTTTTTTCAGAATATATAAAAAGCATCCAATATCATAACTCACAAAGAGCAAACTCCATATTCACCAATGAAGTTTTCGCAATAATATATAGTTATATTTCGATATTAGAAAATGAAATCCCAATAACAAATGTCTCACCGACAGAAACATCTAAACATTTAAGAGTACGACATGAAATCACACTACTCTCTAGTTATTTAAACATCATTAAAGAAAATTTCACGAAAGACGACGTTTCACAACATACAAAACACGATCTACAAAAAATTTTGGCATGGTTCATAATAGATTATTTCACACACAATATTGATTTAATTGCACAAGCAAGAAAAAATTTTAGACCCCAAAACTCGAACGATGATACCGCTATCACAGAACAATCAGATTATGTTTGGGACCCCGAATGGTCTCATCCCGCATTTATAAGCTTCCCACAATCAATCTCAAGTCAAGCAATAAGTACGATATCTTACATAAGAGATTATGTAAGAGTAATACCATTCACCATTGATGCAACACCATTAAACTATAATACATTTTTGCCCGATACACAAAATAATAGTTTAAACTCTACAGTCATACACAATGAAAACCTCAATGGAACTAGGAATCTTACTCAACAAGATATCCAGACACCATCACACTTCATAAATGAAGAAATTGTACACACAACAACTACACAACAAAGTATTTCACCAATACGCCCAAATTTAACAACACCAAGAAATACAAATCCTTCACAAACACAGGTAACCTTACAATCAACCGTTAAACCTTCGGTTGCCCCTAAATATTCACATATGGATTACCAAACATACAGACCCATGACAATACCATCAAAAACACGCAAAACATTCACTAGAAACAACTTTACAGACCATAATTATAATTATACACATCCATCAAAAACATATAATCAACCACAAAGAAATTTTAACCAATATACAAGATCTCGAAATTGGGATAACCCAATGACCCAACCTAATTCAATAAATTTCCAAACAAATCCTCCACAGGATCACAGTGAAAATTACCCATTTTTTCAACAAAATAAAAATAAAAAACAGACATCTTATCAAATGGATTATTTATCCTCAGATGATGATTTCTTACAACCAGATATATTTGCACCAAATACTCAAGAATATCGTAGACAAGGAATACAGAAAACACGTACAAATCATAGAAATTTTTCTCCACAACCAATAGATGCACAACATCAACAACCAATTCAACAACAAAATCTAATTAATATACAATCTTTTCAACCAATTCAACAACAAAATCCAATGACTGCACACTCGTATCAACCATCACAAATGCAAAATGAAATACCACTCCCATATTATCTCCAACAACATGAAATAACAAGAAACCAACTTTCAAATTTTTCTCAA